AAATTATTACTTCAAGTGCTGGCCATGGTTTTTATTATGGCTTATTAAAACTTGCAGATTTCTCATACAACTCCTTAATTTGGGGAGCAAATTATTGTAGGTTTTGTAGTAGGCCTCGAATCAAATATTATCATAGGCATGTAATGGCCCTCTAAGGACTGGCCCATTGGCGATTTCAGTGGGCTAGTCTTGCTTGGTTTGTTTATTAGTAGGGATGGCAACGGGGGCAGGTTTGGGCGGGTGTGCCCTCCCCCGTCCCCGCAATCGTTTAAAAATTTCGCTCCCATTCCCACCTAAAACCGCAAAAACGGGGGAACTTTTCACCCCATCCCCGTAACCGTTTAACATTTTTACCCTCGCGGGTGCCCGCCCTGCCTCGTTTAAGACCATAATTTAATTATTGTTGAAATGGATTTATTTATTTATTTATTTTTCCTTTATCTTCAATTTTTCACGATTGCAATTTTCCTTTTAATAAAATTCATTTGTTAATTTAATATTGTTATATGGAGTAATTAATATATAGTGGGAAATATATATATTAATGAAATAAGGGTACTTAAGTAATTTTTCTATTTAAACGGGGCGGGGCGACCTCCCCCCGCCTCCGCACCAAACCCGCGCGGGTTTTTATTGTATCAAACTATCCCCACCCAAATAAGCAAAACGGTCTCCCAAAACCACCAAAAACGGGACGGGGTGGGGCGGGTAACCGCAGGGACGAATCAAATTACCATCCCTATTTATTAGGTGGCTAGGCCTGAGTTTCTGTTTTAGAAGAACACGAAGAGAGGGTTTGTGTCATAGTAAAAGAATTTTCAAAACCAATTGAAGGATAATTTATGAAGGATTCAACTTTTTTTTAAAATGAGGCTTGTTGGCTTTTGCTTAGTTCGTTTATTAGATGGCCTGGCCAGAGGTTGTGTTTTAGACCATGGAACCTAACCTTGATGGCCAGCCCAAAATTGTATTATAAATATGAAAATATATGTCACATACATAATAAATTATATATATATATATATATATATATATATATATATAATATATATATAGTTTTTGGTGCAAATTAATGTCCTAAAATTCAATTTATGTGGCTTACCTGCAAAACCATACCTTCGGTTTAGCATGAGTTGAAAATTAGAAGTAAAATCTGAAAGTACAAAGAATTTTTCCCTAATCGTAGAGAGATAAACTTTACACTCTCAATGATTTTTCAACACCTTTTCCCTCTCAATCCCCTCTATTTATAGACGGTTATAACCACTACTGAGCTCGTCCTATCTTGTTCTCCTTTGGCTGGACTCGACTTCCCTCATTTTAACATGGGCTTCTGAAATGACTTTATGGACCTGGGCCCATACGGCGCGTACTTGCTCCATCCCGTTCGTCCACATCCGACCCGTCCTATGCAATGTGGATCACACCAAACCCGGGTCATTTTGGTGTCCTCATCTGCCCCCAATAATCTCTTTCCTCATTAATGAGGGTGAGATTATTGAAAGGACACGATCTTGGTCTGACGGTTTGGAGCAATAACTCGAGGAATCGAACGGCTAGCACAAGAACCCAGGTTTCGAGATCTGCAGCGCCACTTTTTGCCTTGACCTTTGGAGTTCCATGTCGCTTTTACTTCTCCTCTTTATAAATTTTGATCTTTCAACCTCCACCCTTCCTATCGTTTCTACTCTCTGTTGCTTTCCTGCACATTCCGGCGATCCTTTTTAATTTCTCCGGCAAGTCCTTCCTTTTCGATTTTTAGTTACTGTGCCGTTGCTGAGTTCATCACAAACTTTCAATGCTAGTTTTTTTTTTAAAAAAACCTCTCCTTAAGAGACGTCTTTACTGCCTAGGACTCTTCCCCTTTTTTTTTATGGCTTCCCCTAACCTGAACGCCATTCGATCCAAGAATTATATTCCTCACGACGTTTCTCTCAAAGTCTACCCAACAAACTTAGACGAGAGATCAGGCGAGGGTCTTCTTCTTGGGGAAGTTTTATTCTCCGCCGTTCACTTGAACGTTATTAGGTTCCCCGTACACCCGTTCTTTTGTTATGCTTTCAACAAATTGGGGCTCTGCCCCCTACAAGTTAACCCAAACTTCCTTAGGGTGATTTCAGTCCTTCTGCTCTTGAATCGTGATAGGGGTCTCAATCTTGACATTATTGACCTTCTCCTCTGCTATCGGATTAACAAGATTTCACAAAATGACTTTTACTATCACTTCTTTCCTATTGACAAACGGTCGATCTGCACTGATAAAAGCTCATTTGAAAAAGGTTGGAGGCGGAATTTAATCGTGGTTGGTGGGAATTGGCGGACTCCGCTCGGCCATTCCTTCCCTATCCCTTCTTCCTTTGGAGCATGTTCTGTCTCTGGCTACAAAAAGCTGAAAACACATCCTACCGAATGCCATTGTGAAAGTTGTCTTCCCCGTTTTTGCACTTTTCTTTGTAGATGTTTTCAAATTCCCCATGATGAATTAGTTTATAGCATCTGCAGGGCTAGGCTAGATACCTTGCAAGAAAGTGTGCTGAACGATGTCCCTTCAGCTACTGATTTGCTTACATCTGATAATCTCTCTGACATCTCTCTTTTAGGGTCTACAATGGAGAACATTCAGATCCCATCGTTCAGCAGGAGGAGGCGTCCTGCTCCCACCCCTCCTAACGCTCCTACCACCATTTCATCATCTACACTTGCTTCCACATCATCTCTCCCTGCTGTCTCTGCCCCAGAGTAAGTCTCGGTTGCCCCAGCTGCGATTCAAGTCTCAAACCGTCCTGCTGGTGCGCCCTCTGAGCTCACCTATGCTGAGAACCCTGTTGTGGGCCACACTGCTGAAGTCTGTCCTGCTGCCCCAATCATTATACCATCGAACATCTCGTCCGACACTTCCTCAGAGAGCACTCAGGATGCTGGAAATTCTGAGGACAATAGGGGGCCAGCTAATGCTGTTCTGTCGGAAAAGAATTTAGGAAAAAGGTCAATGCCTGAGAGCGGTCATGATCAGGGTGATATCCCACCGACCCGAAGGATCAAGACGGCTTCCTTCAGGGTTACTGAACCATCGCCCCCTGCCCGGTTCTTCATTCCTGAGGGCGAGTCGGCCAGAACCTCTGGTCCAATTCCATCCGTTCTTCCATGGCAACCTTTGCTCAGCCGTGAAGATAGATCAACCATTGGCCCCACTGACTCGATATACAAGGACCCCCTCACCTCGTTTGCTTTCTACAAGGGTTTCTGGACCCCCAAAGACTTTGAAATCCAGAACAAGCTATCCTTTGGTAAGATGTTCCAACGGTTCCCGACCGCTGCTATGGAGGTGACTTTTCTTCTACTGAACTGTGTTCTTTTTCAGTTATGATTCCTTTGTAATTAGTCTGACCTGAATTTCTTTTTCTTCATGCAGACTCTGTTCGGGATGTTCACCTTTCAAAAAACAATTGAAACTCTGAACAAAAAACTTAAGTCTCTTTCTGTGGGCCTTAAAAGGTCTGTTGAAGCAGAGACTCTTCTTGAGGCTAGAGTTGCTGAGCTGGAGTCTAAGCTTAGGGACTCAGATAAGGGAGTTGCTGACCTAAAGGCAGAGAGAGACGGTCTAGCAAACGAGAGGGATTCCCTCAGAGCTGAACGGGATTCCCTGAAGACCGAACGGGATTCTCTTCATGATGAGGTTGACGTCTTAAAAACTGAGAAGAGTGTAGCTCTGACAGAAAGGGACTCTCTCAAAGCCGAAAAGGGAGACCTTCAGCGCTCATTCATTGCTGAACGATTATCGCATACGAATTCCCAAGAAAAACTTTTAAACGAACGGTCTTCCCTGATGAACATGATCGGCAGAGTTGAAGGGGGTATGAGGGCTCTCCTTGCTCGCTTTACCAGGACCAGTGCCATCCGGTATGCTGAAGGGTACAGAGACGGTTTTGTTGACCGTTCTCCCCCCGAAGGTGAATCAAGCTCTTGTGCTGGTCCTGATGAACTAGATGCTTCTCTGGACATTCACCTCCCAAACAATTATCAAAATCCACCATGCGACCCAGCTGAGAACATTTTTATTGAATGCATAGAGGTCGCATCTTTAGGAATTGTCCCACCCTTTCATCCCCTAAACATTCTTCCTCTTTCTACCATCGTGCCCTCTTCCTCTGTTGTTGCTGACAAACCTATGCCCGCTGAGGGGGTGATTCATCTCGACTCCCATTCTAAGGATGATGGGGCAGGTGAGAATGGAGGAGATCTCGATGGTCCAGAGGAAGATGGTGGCGAGAATGACAAGTCACAGCCTGGAGAAGATCAGAACTGACATCTAATAGCAGCAGTTTTTTTTTTTTAATTTTTATTTTTATGTATGGTACTACGTACCTTGAGGCCTTTTTGATTATGAATGATAATGTTTTTGCTCAGCATCCCTTTCCTCTTTTAAGTTTTCTATTTTCAGCTTTGTAGTGTATTTTCACAAGTGCTTAACGTTCGGCCATGTCACCATTCTGTCCTTTTCTTACTCATTTGTGAGTAAGTGTTTGGCGTTCGGCTTGAAGTGCCAGCTGCCACTAACTTGCTGAATGCCTGGCGCTCGGCTTGAACGTCTCTTGCGACTTGGCTTCTTTTTATGTTTATTTTTGAGCAAGTTTTGGCGTTCGGCTTGAAGTGCCAGCTGCCACAAACTTGCTAAATGCCTGGCGCTCGGCTTGAACGCCTCTTGCCACTTGGCTTTTTTATTTTTGAGCAAGTGTTTGGCGTTCGGCTTGAAGTGCCAGCTGCCACTAACTTGCTGAATGCCTGGCGCTCGGCTTGAACGCCTCTTGTCACTTGGCTTTTTTATTTTTTAGCAAGTGTTTAGCGTTCGGCTTGAAGTGCCAGCTGCCACTAACTTGCTGAACGGGAAGAGTGTAAATTTTTAACAAAGAAGAGACTTTTTATAAAGCATGGAAATTTCGTACACTTACAAGCATGCAATTTAGAACGTACAATATGCTTGAAATTAAACTTTACTTTTACTAGTAGTACCTTTTCAGAGACGTAGTATTCCATGGCTTATTGACTACCCTTCCTGTCATAGTTTCTAGGACGTATGCCCCCTTTGCGATTAACATCTCTACCTGCCTCCTTAGGTTCCTGCATTCGTTAGTTTGATGTCCAAAATCACTATGGAAAGCACAATGTTTAGTCTGATCCCTCCGCTCAAGAGGTTGCCTGATTGGCAGAGGAGGACGAAACTTATCTTTGCTCTCCTGGTATAGCCTTGCTAAGGTGACTCTGAGTGGAGTGATTGATTCCTCCTCCCTAGGCCTCTTCTCCGCCTTCCATGAGGGGTGATGTTGCGGTTGAGCTTGTTTTTGCCGGATCTTGGCTTTGGACTTCTCCTCCATCGAAATAATTGACGTCTTCCTTGAATTAGCTGCTTCTTCCTCCTCAAGGCGAACAAAACCGTCAGCTTTCTCGTTCAGCTCGTCCATTGTCCTTGGCGTATTAACCACCAAGCTGGTGTGGAACGGCGTCTCCCGTTTCATTGCGAGTTTAAATGCTTGGACTGCTGTTGACTGGTGACACTCCATTACCATGCTTTTAACGAGGTTGAACCGGGTGAGAAAAGCTTGGAGCCGCTCATCCTCATGCTGCTTCATTGTGAAAAGGCTCGATACATCCTCAGCCGGACGCTTATTCCCGTAATACTGGCTTATGAACTTATCGCATAAGTCCTGGAAACTGGCGATTGAGCCTTGAGCCAGATTCTTGAACCAATTGAGAGCTGGTCCAGCCAAGCTCGTAGGGAAACACTTGCACATCAAAGGATCATTATTAGGATTCAAAGCCATTTTCAACTGAATATGGTATATGTGATTGACCGGATCGGTTGTTCCGTCAAAGAGAATGAAGACCGGCATGGAAAACTACTTCGGATTTGGCGCGTTCATAATTTCATCAGTGAACGGCGATGCGACCGTCCTTACTGAGGAACGCAATGCTTCGTTTTCTCTTGAAAACCGTGACAGAAATCCTCGATCGGCAGATCTCCTTTCTGAGCTATGGTAATCAACTGTCGCTAATGAAGGTCGGTATGGCGGATCGAACAACCTATCCTCTGCAAATTCACTCTGCCATGGTGACGCAATCCTATGTTCATATACCGGTGCTTCCTCCCTCATAATCCGTTTGTGATGCCGTTCCAGACGAACAAATCCTTCCCGATCCTCTACTCGGCCGACGTTCGGAGGCAGATTACCGATTATACCTTCATCACGACGTGGACCACTACGATTGACGTCTTCTGGATCACCTTGATGATCAGCTTCGGACGGTAAAGCTCCCTCTCCTTCAGGAGGCGGCCTCGAAATTGCAGGAGCCTCTCGATGCTCCATTCCAGCTCGTAGCTCTGCATTTTCTTTCCTTAAAGCATCGATCATGTTCATTAGCTCATCGAGCTTTGTCTGCTGGCCGTTCTCCAAAGAATTCGGGTTCGCTTCTCCAATCATCATTCCAGATCGGAGCAAAGTCATCAACTGCAGGCTTCTTGATCAAATCGGAGTTCCGCTAACGCGCGCACACCAGATTTGAACTTACACTTGCCGAATTCAGTCCACTACTGGACGGATTCAGTAACCACAACAGATCACAACCGCGCAGTTCGCCGGATCAAGCACGGATCTGATCTGCTTGGATCGGACGCCAATTTTCCGAAATCAACTGGAACTTAGACTCGTCAAGACAAATCGTACTATTACCAATGTTGCTTCAGCTTTCGCAGATTAGTCGTCTTCCTCGCAGAATGCGTTGAATCGATCCGATCTGGAATGATATCAATCAATCCTTCCTGTTCTTCCCACAGACGGCGCCAATTGAAAGTACAAAGAATTTTTCCCTAATTGTAGAGAGATAAACTTTACACTCCCAATGATTTTTCAACACCTTTTCCCTCTCAATCCCCTCTATTTATAGACGGTTATAACCACTACTGAGCTCGTCCTATCTTGTTCTCCTTTGGCTGGACTCGACTTCCCTCATTTTAACATGGGCTTCTGAAATGACTTTATGGACCTGGGCCTATACGGTGCGAACTTGCTTCATTCTGTTCGTCCACATCCGACCCGTCCTATGCAATGTGAATCACACCAAATCCGGGTCATTTTGGTGTCCTCAAAATCTTAAAAATATCCTTTTGATATGATTAAAATGCCCCTTTGCACATATATACATGCAGTAATAGATTTTCATCTCTCAGCTCTTTTAGATGCTTGATGACTCGCGATGTTGTAGTCAAAGCCTTTAGTATTTTCAATTTCATTTGAAAATAAACAAATGCACTTAATCTGCATCAAATCAATTCCTCCTGTGCATAGACATTATGTTTTAAAAAAAATTATTTTAGGTATACAAATTTGATAAAGAAAGGAGATACTGTGACAAAATTACTACTTTGACCACCAAATTCAAGAATAATAATTTGTAAAGGAATAGAATCCAAAAATTATTTGTGTGTATTGTGATATTCAACGTGAGTAAATGTCGTACAACAATGTCCAAATATATGCAAGGTAGCTGTCACGGTGTGGCATTGTACGTGGACCACCACGTATTTCTTTGGGAGGTACAAAAGTGAGTGTTATTATGAAATTTCCGACTTTAAACTGCTGACTGAGGGCAGAGAGATCGTGTGGTTGTTCTCATCCAATAATATTTTCCAGTGCATATGTATGATTATTAAGTCTAACTTATATTTTGAAGTTTTGAAGGGAGAAATAATTTATACAATAAAAATAACATATATATATTGGTTTTATCAAAAAGGTAATTTATTTAATAGAGATATTTTTATTTTAATCTTCTTTTTTCCCAAAGATTAGAGATAAAGAAAAGAAATTTGTAAGGACAATTGTGTAATTTAAAAAGTAATAATTATTTATTTGTAAATTAGGATTAGAATTATTATTTTATTTAAAATTATAATAAACCTTGAAAAGTAAAGTACCAATAATACCTCCCAATTTTAAAATGCATCAATACCAAAAACCTTCCAATTTTGAATTGCATCAATACCAAAAAACCAACGATAAACGTAAACATATAAAGATTGGTTCAATTCCTGGACCAGGCCAATGAGGTTTGTGGGGTCTGCTTAGTCTCGGAAAATAATATAATTGATCACTTTAATACCTCGACTTAAATTGATTAACTTTTTTAATTTTTTTTCTTTAAATTCATCCCCTTGTTTTTTTGTTTATGGGAGTTAGATAAATATTCACATAACAATCTTATACATACATATATACTATATATATATAAAGTTTCATGGTGATTCAAACTTTAATTGTCAATAAAGAATATTAAGGTGAAATTCTAAGGCCTTGATAGAATTTTTTATTTTTAATTGTAAAAAAATGAAAAGATATTAACTTTTCAAATAGTTAATTACTTTATATTTTAAAATAAGTCCAATTATATTTGACATATGGACAATCACATACACTCAACGAAGTAGTAAGTTTTCGTCGGGTTAAATAACATGACTCTTCCCAACTATATTATACTTATTAAAAAAGGGATAATGCATTGATGGTTATTAATATGTATATTTTTTTCCAATTAAAGAAAATTTTGAAATATTATATATATATATATATATATATATATATATATATATATATTAATTATTGAATAATAAAAAGGAGAGGATTACATGCTAAGAAGTATAAATATTGGACACAATACAAACGTGTGGTTATATATATATATATATCAATGCATTACTTAACGGTGAATATACCCTCGTCCTTAATTTAGGGTTATATATATATATATATATATCAATAATTGCAGCAATATATTAAGATTTAAGAACCAGAAGAGGATTTCCTGATTGAGTACATTTTTTGATAAATATTTTTTTTTTTTTTTTGATAAATATTTCCTGATTGAGTACATCAAGAAGCCATCTTGGCCAAATTGCAGTTGCCGAATACCAATCGTCAGCCTCACCGTCCGGGGCGCCACCACCCAGGTGCATATCTCCGGTCAGTCATTCTCTCCTCTCTAGATCTCTTTTTCACTCAGAATCTTAAGGTTTATTTATTTCGATCAGTTTGAACATAGTTGTAAACCTCAATCAATAAGACCATTCATAAATTGCAATCAAACATTAGTTCTTTCTTCAAATCCCATTCTTCTGCTCTCTAATCCCTTGTCCTACTTATAATTTTTGATGAATAATTTGCCACCACAACCATACAAATAATAAATTCTCCTAACTTACAAGTGGTAAAAACTCCAAACTCAAGTTGGTATTTTAAATTTTCTTTCAATCTCTCCTTAAAACTAGGTTTTTTTTTTTTGTTTTTTTGGGGGTTATATCTTAATGCTTCAAATAACTCTGTTTATTTGTTGTGAGCTTGTTTAATTGCTTCAAATTACTAGTGTATTTGATGTGTATTGTTTGTAAAAGTTGGTACCAGTAGTAATTAGGCTTAAACCTGGATGTTTTGTTTTGTAATTACTATTTATAGATATTGATCATATATATTTTTCAAGTTTTGATTTATTGAAAAATACTAAAGATTTGTTAAAACCTCTTTTTGGATCTCTCTAGCTGGTGGCCTTCGCCAACTTTTCTTTGTTGAATGGTTTGAAAATATATCTAATATATATTTAATGTGTCTTTGTGTTTCTCTATCTCTCCATTGAGTTGTTTTGAGTTGATAGTGTGTTGCATGTTAGCTGTATTTAGTGTGTGCCTAATCAACTTAACAAATTCCGCAGAATGGTTGAAAGAGCACTCGCCACCTCAATACTACACAGTTTTATCATCTTCCTTTCAATTTGGGACACCATCCTTATTCTTATACCTTTTAACCAGTATACTCCAAAGAATATGTGTCTTCTTATAGGTGAGTAATGCAATGGCACTATTTTGTTAGATTATTCACTTATGTTGTGGTTTTAATTTCCATGAGATATATCATGTAATGTGTGTTGTGATATTTTGTTAGATTATTCGGTTCTATATTGTGGTGTTTAATTTCCAATGTTTTTCACAAATATCATGTTTTTGAGATCCAGAGACATGAAATTCATACTTCATTTGAATACTGGTAATTCAAAGTGTAAATTGCATCGACAGTCCCAAGGTTTTCATCAACTTCTTACTTGTGTACGTCGTTCAATGTGCAAACTCTCAAATTGCTTTGATACACAAGAAATGTGGGGACAAGAAAAAAACAGCATTTTAATTGTTTTACTACATCACTTGGAAGAATTCATGGGACAAAAAAAAGGCTGAAAGATTATTAAGAAACCTTTCTTTTAAATTAATACTTCATTGCCGCCATGGTTTTTATGGCTTATCCAAGTTAAAACTTGCAGAATTCTAACACAACTTCTTAATTTGTTGGGAGCATACTCAAGTGGTAATTAATTTTTGTTTTGTCTTAAATACTCAACATGTTCTTGTACATTTTTGTACTCTTCCAGTGCTATGTTTATCTTTATGTTTATATATATATATATATCAAAATCCAAGATTTTAGTGAAACCAAAGTCAATTGCCTGTGACATTTTATTAAATTAAATTTTACAGAAAGCATAAAACATCTAAAATAAGTATGAGTTTTTTTTTTTTTTTTTTTTTTTTTTTTTTTTTATTTTTAACACAGTATGAGTTACATCAGCATCAATTATATAATTTAAAACAACCCTTCCTCTAACTCAAAGAAACGTATTGTTAATTTATAATTTAAAACTACCCTTCCTCTAAAAGAAATTTATTGTTAATTTAGGATAGTTTTCAAAAACAGGATAATTGATATGAAATATTCAACTTTTTGCATTACTTTTGCAGAATTGACACTTATTTCGGGACCAAATTATTGTAGGTTTTGTAGTGGGCCTCGAATCAAATATTATCATACGCATGTAATGGCCCTCTAAGGACTGGCCCATTGGCGATTTCAGTGGGCTGGTCTTGCTTGGTTTGTTTATTAGGTGGCCGGGCCTGAGTTTCTGTTTTAGACCCATCCAGCCCACGAACTTTGGCTTGTGGGACGGCCTAGAATTCTATTCAAAAATAAATCATTATCTTAGATGGTATGAGCTTCTCTACACAACGCCCTAAAAATAAACAAACTAATTACGATATTTATAACCAACCATGTACGTATATATAAGCTCGAATAAAACCAGAATACACGAATATTACATATAGAGATTGAGAACAGACCCACTGTTATCAACGGCCTTGGCTGTGAATTAGAGCTGCTTGATGACTAATGTTGTTGTAGTCAGAGCCTTTGGTATTTTCAATTTCATTCCAAAATAAACAAATGCACTTCATCTGCCTCAAATCATTTTCTCCTGCGCATAGACATTATGTTTTTTAAAAAAATTATTACTTTGACCACCAAATTCAAGAATGATAATTTGTTAAAGGAACATAATCCAACATGATCCACACAATTCTATAATAAATTTCTATAATTTTAATTCTAAAGGCTAAAAAGTCACAAAATTAGCTAATGTCCGATAAACTTGAATAAAATAAAGTAACACACGTATATATATATATTAGAAGGAAATTTTTTTTGGCTCAAAAACTTTCATGTTCATTTGCGTCGCTTCAATTCAGGCAAGCGCTTTACTCGCTTCATCCGAATTCAATGGGCCTCGTGGCCTAGCTGTCTGTTTGTTGGGCCGAATAAGTGGGAAAGCTGACTACGGTTACTTGAAAAATAGTTTATCATAAAATTATTTTACATAAAAAAGTAATAGTTTTATACTTAAGTTGCATAAAGTAACAGCATGAGTGAGAGCGAAAGTAGTAAAATTTAAAATTTGGTTAGAGTGCTTGTTATTTTGTTTGCTATCCACTACTACAAAAAATATGTTTTTATACGTAACCTAATTTCTTCTATGTTAGGAGATACATAATATTAATAATAATTTAAATACAAAAATTATAGCATATTTTGTATATATATATATATATTTTTAAAAATCCCTTAGAAATCTATATATTTATTTTAGAATTTTAAAGATGTATTCTTAAGAATTTAGTACATGAAATGAATATTTTAAAGAATTGTAAAAAATAAAGATCTTAATAAAAAATAAAGTGAAACAAAAAAGTATTTGTATCATTTGTTTGATAATATATATACATACACTAAACACACATCTTTAAGATTTTAAGACTTAAATAACGAAACAAAAGTGATCAATATAAAGCGAACAACAATTTTTCCCCTAAGAGAGTTTCTGAAGCTGTTTATTTAATAACTACTTATTTCTCTATATTATAAAATATATAATTCAATTGTAATGTTTATAAATATATATCAGAATATGTTGAATTTTCAAAAACATGAAGAATAATTTGTATGAAAGATTCAAATTTTTTGCTTTAGTTTTTCAACTTTTTCAGAATTTACACTAATTTTGGGACCAACTTTTGTTCTCACACTTTGGGACCAACTTTGGTACACTCATAGCCTCATAGGTTAGGAGTCCGGCCCACTATAAGGGCTGGCCCATTTGCTTTTTAGTGGTCTTGTCTTGCTTGGTTTGTTTATTAGGTGGCTGGGTCCGAGTTTGTGTTTTAGACCCATCGCGCCCAGCCACTGAGGCTTGTGATACTCCAAATGATGGCATTAAACTGTCATCACAATTAAAAACTGATCTTAATTATTGCATTACTCGTCATTAAAGTTCAATGGTGGCATTAAACTATCATCACAATATTAAAGTGACTCCAAATCAATCATTGAACTATAATCGTTCAAGTCTTTGGAAGGTGGTCCTTCTAATTTGAATGGTGCGTACTCTAAGAAAAAAAGAAAAAATTAAGATCAACTTATACATGTCCTGGTTAAAGCTCGACACTATAAACGGGACACTTAAATATGAATGTCATTGGATCTATCATCAATCGCTATGCTATTACCATTTTATTATTATTAATATTTATTTTATATAATATGTAAAGATTGAATCTTTAAATGAAAATACCTCGATTAAGATAATTTTGAAGTCACTATAAAGATTGAATTTTTGAAAAAAAATAAGAGTTTTTAGTTAAATTTGTTCAAGTTTTCTTTGTAATCACAAAAAATGTTTTTATAAATAAAGATTGATTCTTTGAATGAAAATACTTCAATCAAGGTACCTTTTAAGTAAATAGACCATTTTAATGTATAAAGATTGAATATTTTAAAAAAAAATGAGATTTTTGAGTTAAACTTATTTGAATTACTTTTGAAGTCACAAAGAGTGTTTTAATAAATAATGAATGTATTTTTAAATAAAAGTACCTCAAACAAGGAACGTACACACCTAAGGAACCCAAAATGGAAATACCAAAAAAGGCACCACATAAATCTAACTCAAACATTCAAAGGCAAAAGATCGTTAGTTGTCAATTCAGTGACTAAGGAGAGGATCTCCAACAAAAATACGAGAGCATTCCACATAAATGTAGAGAATTGTGGAGTGCTGAGAGAGTTGAAAATTTCTAAAATATTGGAGTTATTTTATAGAGTTGCAGAGTAAAATAAATTTTTAGAAGAGTACAAAGCTTTGTAAATATCTTAGTGTTCTAGAGGCAATATCTTGATCATTTATTGTAGTGCATCATAGCTGTTGACGAGATATATAAATATGTGAGTAACCTTTACAAAATTAAGCTCTAACACCATCGATATGAAGCTCCAAAATCAGAGGCAGCCACAATAAGAGTACAAATATTTCTAAATGTCTAAGTTAGTGTTCTAAGAGGCAAAATCTTGATCATGTAGTGCATCGTGTCCACGAGATCTATAAATATGTGTGTAACCTTTACAAGTATTAAGCTCTAACATCTTACTTGTCAGTTGGGTGATCAGGGAGACCATCTCCAACAAAAATATTAGAGCATTCCACATTGGTGTAGAGAATTGTGGAGTGCTGAGAGAGAGTTGAAATTTTCTAAAATATTAGAGTTATTTTATAGAGTTGTAGAGTTAAATAATTTTTCAGAAGAGTACAAAGCTGTGTAAATATCTAAGTAAGTGTTCTAGAGGCAAAATCTTGATAATTTATCGTAGTGCATCAAAACCGTCGACGAGATCTATAAATATGTGTGTAACCTTTACAAAAATTAAGCTCACCATTGATATGAGCTCCACAGCCACAATATGAGTACAAAGCTTTCTAAATATGCAAGTGTTCTAGAGGCAAAATCTTGATCATTTATTGTAGTGCATGATGTCGACAGGATCTATAAATATGAGTGTAACCTTTCCAAAAATTAAGCTCTAACACCATCGATATGAAGGTACAAAATTAGAGGTAACCACAATAAGAGTACAGAGTGTAGCAAGTGAAAAGCAGAGTTTTGTAAATATATACTTCAGAAGTGTTTTAGAGATTAAATCTTTATGATTTATTGTAATCCACTATCTATAAAAGAGGATGACATCTATAAATATGGGCTGCGCTGGTGTCATTTAGAACATAGAGTAGATATGAGTATTAGAGCATTCCATATTGGTGCAGAGAATTCTGGAGTGTTGAAAGAGTTGGAAAAATTTTAAAATATTGGAGTGTTCTAGAAGCAAAATCTTCATCATTTATTGTACTGCATCCTATGTAGTGTTTTAGAGATTAAATCTTAATGATTATTGTAATGCACTATAAGGATAACATCTAAAATATGCGTGGGTGACTGGGTGTCATTTATAAAGAGCTTAAATGTTGATAATTATTTATTTTACTCACATTTACAAGAAACTATTTCCTCAATGAAAAAGCAATTACTTTTTGTCTATCAAAATTATTTATCGAAAAATATTGAATTTTTTTTATTAATGTACAGTGAATATATTTAATGACCTTTTTTAGAAAGCCAATAATTGCCTTTAATTATATTAATGATCTTCATATTATTTGAAAAGCATATCCTATACAAAACACTACAAGTTACTTTTTTTTTTAATAACACTTCAACATTGATATTTATTATTAATTAATTTAGAATGAGGATCCCTTTAACTTGTATTATATTTTTTTAATATTCATTTTTTTTCCTGACTTTTTCACTTCCTCTTATTGTTGGTGTTAAAATTATGAACAAGTTATCCACATTTTTAAAGTTGTTTTTATTTGCTTTTTGCTACTATTTTCTGGATTTGACCCTTCTGTTTTATATACTGAATCATATGTGTATATATATTACAGGATTTTATACGTCATGTTTTTTAATGCTATTGTTGTTATATTCTAGAGGTTTTGTTTTAGTTAATTTGGCTATTGGTTCTTCTGGTATGTGATTTTATAGTTAGGTTTCAGTTCCGTTTTGGGCTCAGTTTTTGGTCATGGATTGAGTTTGAAGGATTTGATCCTGGGCTTTGTTTGGATACACATGAGAGAAAATAAAAGAAATGATAGTATTAGTTATAAGGAAAAAGAAAAAAAAAATAAAGAAAAGTAATAATATCTATTTATGTTTGGATAGAAAGAAGAGAAAAGAAATTATAGTATATGATATAGGGTAGAAAAGAAGAAAAATGATAGCAATCAAATTACTATCATATCCTTTTAAATATAAGGAATATGAATGGAATAATAATTTTATCTTTTTAAGTATTGAGTGCATTTTTGGAATTATGAAAATACTATTTAAATATTATCCTTTCTTTTATATCTTCTAATTTTTGGAGAGGCAGGAAATAAAGAATAAGGAGTGATATCTTTCTCTCCCAATCTCTCTCTATCATTTCTTTTCTCTCATTTTAAACTACCCAAATACACGTAAGCCCTTCTTTCTTTTCTTTCCCTATTCTTCCGAATCATCCATCCTTTCTTTTCTTTCCCTATTCTTCCGAATCATCCATCCAAACTAAAAAATCAACCTATTATTAAAGAGTTTATGGGGGAGTTTGACATTGGACTATGAATGCAATTAATTGATTTTTTATTTTATTTGGGTATTTCTTAGGTAGAATATTGAATCACTTTTTATAACCTCAAGTGTCATTTTCCGGCGGTGATACCATTAATTTTAGCACGTTTACCAACTTGAGATTTAAGTGAAAAAAAAATAGCAAGCTACACAAAAGTGGATGGTGGATACTAAATAAAAAATTATGGCTCCATCCCTATTTATGTTTTGATAAAAGATGCCATCTCATATTGAATGGTATCACTTCCACACGCATAGAAATAAAAAATAGAATGTCATACTTTTGGGCTACTAATTTTTTTTCCTTCCCCAATTAGTCTTAACAATTTCATAGCATAGCAAAGAATTAATTTGCTTATTTTTCTCCTCCTTTCAATTACTTCAATACAAACAAACCCTTATTTATTATATATATCTTGTGTAACATCATCATACATAGAACAACTCCATAACCAAATAACATAGTACCTTAGGATATGTCTAACAACATTGTATGTATATGAGGTTTAGATAGTTTCATTATAACTACAAGGATGTATTAATACCAAATAAGAGAGATTAGAGAGATGATAGGTTAGAAAGAGGGATGAGATCGAGTAGACAGAGAGATAGGGTTAGATGATGATGTGGCTCCTTTTTAACCAATAGATTTAGTTTTACATGATTTGGGAGAGAGAGAGAGAGAGACATTGAGAAGGAAGGGTATAGAATAAACAAGGTGATCAGAATACTTCCCTTTCTGAAATATCCTTTTTATTATTATTATTATTATTTCTGCTAACTCCATCTGAATCATTCTCTCTTTATATATTATGCGTATGTATTTATTTTGTTGTTTATGATGTATGCTTGATGTTGTTGTACTTTTATATGTTCAATTACACCAACGCGATTTTGTGATCTTCAAATTTAATATTATATATTACGTTTTGTTTACAAATCCAACTCGTTTACATAATTCAAAATTTTTTGTTTCAAATGCTGATGTTATCTCTTATTAATCTATGAATTAGGTGTGTTTAAAATTACTATATTCTGTCAGTTTTGCTAGTACAATTCGACACTAATTTTATATTATTTTTTCAATTCAAGAATTCTTTGTTTTTTTGGGTGATATTAATTAGGGGTAGGGGAATAATTTGGGAATCCGATTCAATTTATGTGGATCAGATTGAATTACTATACGCATGGATTAGTATTGGATTCAAAAAGTTCAAATCCAGTACTTGGACGAATTGAATACTCAAACACATTCTTAAACTAGTATAATTAAAAATTTGGATGAGTGTCATTCTTTGTTTATGTTTTGTTTTTATTTTCTCACTATTATTTGTTAAAATCTTAGAAAAACTCTAATCTCTCCGCGTGTGTGTGTGGAGCAGGAGCGGCTTTAGGTGAGAAATATGGAGGCTGAAATGGGAAGAGAAGTATTCCTGTTGATAGTGTACTGCATGTTTGGTGTATCTGTAGTGTGTATATCTAAGTTTACAAAACCAGTAAAAGGGTCAAAAGGTGACTATATTGTCACCATCGGCTTATACATCCTGTGGCCTACTGTGTTATATCATCTATAATTAGAATCATCATCAGAATTAGGACCAAATCAGTAAAGGTGGTTGATTCAGAGTCGTCTCATGCGGAGGTACAATCTAAAGATCAAGTAGTATCTGGAGAGTCGACTCACCTGGAGGGGCGGCAATCTAAAGATGAAATATGTTTCTCCATCCATGAATGATCGATCAATTATTGTTTAAATTTACACACACTCTGTATATAAGAGTCTATATTTTTTAAATTACTATTTCTTTCATGTTATTGTTAAGTTCACATCCTTATATAATAATTTTCTGATTAATTTACTTGCTGATTCAGTTTGAGTTTCTTGTTTGTTGTCTTCCTCCTCCACTAAAAGAGATTTTGGTTGGTTATGCTAACAACTTTCTACTTTTTACTTTCTCCATATTTTTTCTATTTCTATTTCTCACAACAAGATATGTATTTATTTATTTTATTCTTTTTCTAAATATTTATCAAATCTCATTCTTAAAAGATATTTGTGCAAAAATTGGGTTGCTTGGTTTGTAATTCTAAAAATAGTTTTCTTTTAACTATACAAAAACAAAAAACTATTTTCTGAAAACTATTTTTTAAAAACTGTTTTATGTGTTTTCAATGTTACAAAGCGTCACAAAATGTCCAATTAGTTTCATGTATAGTTTTTTCAAAATGACACCCCCACAAGGATGGATTGTGGGTAAGAGTCCGGCTATGTCCATGGTCTTGGCCACAAGAAATTACTCGGACCTAAGAATAATTGAACTTGAGATCTGAAACTTCTATGGCCCAATTTTTTTTCACCACGCCAATCATTGGATTAATTTGTATAAGTTCTTATAATATTGTCACAATTCTTTGTTCCTCTCCATAAAAAGATCATATCTATCTCCAATTTTGTTTATTTTGCAAATTTTTAGGAAGAAATACTTCGTTTTACTCTCTATCTTAAAATTCTAAAACAAAAACTCCAACCATCAAGAGTATAAAATTTTTATTAATTTTAGAAGAGTTTTGCTATTTGGCACGACAAATAAAAATCTAGTATTTCATTGAATTTGTGTAGTTATTCATGTGTCAAATATAATGGGATCCATTTTAAAATATAAAGTAATTTTTTTTTTTTTTCTAAAATATAAGGTAATTGACTATTTAGAAAGTTGTAATCTTTTTTCTAAATTTATTTTAATCTAGTAATCTTTGTTAAGAATTAAAGTTTCAAGCATGTATATTTGTTTTATATTTCAAATTGAATCTATGTAAGAACTATTGAGATACTTTAGATTGTATTTTTTAATATCCATATTTTACTTTGATAGACATTTGTTAATTGTTATAATGATCAAAACTAATGATTTATCTAACTCTGAGAAATTAAAAAAAAAAATTGCAAAAGTATGAAAAAATTATAAAACATTGCAGTTTTTGCTTTAGATTTTGTGCAAATCAAATTATTAAATTTGAGTACCATAAAACTTATGTGAAAAAGAAAACGAATATGATATGGCCATGAAAAACTAAAAAATAAGGAAATGAGCTATAGAAAACTGAAAAGATAAAGAAAGTAAAATGGAGTATTTTATGGAAATAAACAAAAATAGTAATGATAGATCACTGTCATATTTTGATATTTTGAATAATCACATCATATTTTGTGTCTATTGGTTTTAACTCGGGATACTAAAGTTGTCAAAAATATCATTTTTCATTTTAAAAAAAAGAGAGAGTGACTCTGTTGGTTTTAACTCGAGATATTAAAATCGTCAAAAATATCATTTTTCATTTTAAAAAAAGAGAGGGTGAGAGAATAAATAAATAAAAGTTTGATAACTAAAAATTTGACTATTGATAAGTCAGAGTTTTAAAATTTTGCAAAAAATTAAAAAAATTGTAAGATTTCAAAATGAGTGTTTTTTGCAATCCGCTTTCACATTTAATGATATGGTGGAAAAAAATTTTGCCTGAAAATATTGTGATATCATTAATACATTTTACTTATCAAAAAAAATATCATCAATAGATCCAAAAAAAAATAAATACAATTGATTACTTGCCATGAAGTGAAATCTAGTTGAAAGAGGTGGCTAATTGCGGGGTTTAGATTAAATTTCTTGTTTTTATTTATTTAAAAAAAAAAAATTAAGGAGGGTTTTTGGCAAAAAAGCACAAGTACGGTTTATTGAATTTTGTTCTCTGGGCAATTTTTTAATTTATTATTGAAAATATCTCTCTCTCTCTCTCTCTCTCTCTCTCATGTATATGTAAATATGTAATGCCGTCACTTTGAGTCTCCGTCCTGCCAATGGGCACTTCTGATATTCTTCTGAATTGAAGATGCAAGAAATTCCTTTTTTCTTTCTCTCTCTAGAACTCTTACATTTCAACCAAAAATATCTCCCCTTCCTCTATCCATTACTTCTCCTATTTATAGATACTTACAAACATTAATGGACTGCTAGATCTAGGCCCGTTCCTCTGTGAGTTTTGGTCCTCTTTGATGGGCTATTCGCGTTCGGCCCATATGGCAGTGTCTCTCTATGGGCTTGACCCATCTGCACGGACCGGATGTCGTGTTTGCGGGTCATATCCGGCCCATGTCACTTCGGGCCTCCTCAACTGCCCCCATAATTACCCCTTGTTTAATAAGGGGGTAATTATTGAAGGCCTCTCATCATGATGTTGACGGCTCGAGAAACCCATATGGGGGAACGGACGGTCAAATCCGGAATCAATGTTCCGGGGCTCGATGAATTTCTCGCCTTCCTGACGCTTCGGCCCTCGAGTCCACCTCGCCTTTATAAGGCTCTAGAATGCCACTTCATGCCTTTTTACCGTCTCCATCATCAGTCAAATCTCTCGCTCATCTTTTTAGAACAGTGCTAAATTTCTTCCGGTGAAATTCTTCAAGAGTCATTCTTCCAGCGATCTTGCAGTGCTCTTTGTTACTTTCTACCCCAGAGGTTAGTTTTGTTCCTTTTTACTTTCGGCAGACTTCTTTTTACCCTTTTAGATCCTTCAATCGCTTCCACCATGGTTGTAGATCTAGATGTTCTTCGTATGAGACTTAGACTTCCTGACAACATCCAAGTTAGGGTTTACCCTAATGATGTTAATATTATGACCGGTGCCGGCCTTCTTCCCGGCGAGGTTTTATTTACAAACCTTTAACTGAATGTCGTTAGGTTCCCTCTGCATCCCTTCTTTAATTATGTTTTCAATAGACTGGGGATATCCCCCCTGCAGGTAAACCCCAATTTCTTTAGAATCATATCCGTTATGTTACTGTTGATTCGTGACAGAAGTCTGGACCTTGACCTCATAGATCTTCTTCTTTGCTATAAGGTCAGTAAGATCCGAACTGACGAGCCATTCTACCACCTCTACCCGATCGACAAGATGTCCATATGTACGGATACAATCAAATCTGAAAAGGGTTGGAGGGATAACATTGTGGGTGTTAGTGGGGCCTGGTCTTCGCCGGCTGCAGAGGATTACCCAATCCCGAGCGCCTTTGGCGTCTGTTCTGTCTCCTCATATAAGAAATTCAAATCTCATAAAAACGATTGTCCCTGCGAAACATGTGTTCCTCGCTTTTGTACTTTCTTATGTCGCTCCTTAGGCATACCTTGTGATGACTTGAGCTACAGTGTTTGCAGGGATAGGAGTAATTACTTGAAGAAATACGTTCTGAACGATATTCCTTCTTGCTCAGACCTCCTCACTTCAGACAACCTTCTAGCGCTCTCATCCCTCGGCTATACCATAAGTAGGCTTCAGATTCCTTCCTTTGGTAGAAGAAAAAATACTCCCCCAGCCACTTCTGCTGCTGGAGCAACCTCCTCTCCTGCATCAGCCTCTTCTTCAGCCACCATCTCTGATACCATCCCGAGTACGGTGGCTATTGATCCTGTTGTCAGCACCCCTGCTACCAACCCGAGCACGTCTCCACAAATCACTACTACCCCTGCTGCCGCTGGGGGTGCTCGGGACAAAGAACGAGGCAAAAGGCCTCATCCTAACGGTGGAGTCAACCTTGAGGAGGAACCTCTTGTGAGAAGGACCCGAGTCTCTGGGCCGAGCGCTCTCTTGCATCGCCCAGTCAGAGCTCCTGCCCCCTCCGGGCCTGTTGCAGCTGGTGCCTCTACTTCTGCTTCTCCTTCTATTCCTGTTTTACCACCATGGGCTCCTTGGTACACCCGAACGGATGGGACGTTCGTGAAGCCGAACGAGACCATGTTGAAGGATGGCCAGACTGCCATGGCTTATTATAGGAGCATGTGGACTCCGAAAGACCTTGAGGCGGCGAAGGGTCTGTCCCAAAAGGATGTGTTCAGCCGCTTTCCCCAATCTGCCATGGAGGTGACTTTTATTTTCTAACTCATGAATCCTCTCATACTATTTGCTCTTGACTTCGTCCGACCAGGCTATCGGTTTAACCAGTATTCATGTATATCTATGCAGACTTTGTTCGGTATGATGGCTATGCAGAAACAGGTGGAAATGGGGAACGCCAGGGCCCGTAAGTTCTCTGATAGCCTAGATGTGGCTAATAAGGAAAACGACCTTCTTGCCAGCAAGAACACCGAGATATTGGCTCGGCTTGAAGAAACCGAAAAAGAAAGAGATGTTCTGAAGAAGGAAAACGACTCTTTTCAGGTTGAGAAGGATGCCCTCCAGCTTGAGAAGAGTGTCTGGCAGACTGAACGTGATTCAATCAGAGATGAAAAGGCAGAGCTCCAGTGCCTTTTGGCTGATGAACAGTCTGCTCAGATGGCTTTTGAGAAAAGAGCTCTGGACGAGCGCAACGCTCTGATCGATACCATCAGCAGAGTGAATGGTGGAATGATTGCTCTTCATGCTCGGTTCTCAAGAGTTGGAGCTCTTAGATATGCTCAGGGATTCCGAGATGGTTTCTCCGACCGAGTTCCGGCTGAGGGACAGACCAGCTCAACTCCGGATGAGATTGATAAGGATTTAGGGATTGATCCTCTAGGGGTCTATGTTGACCCAGAACCCACCGAAGCCGAGCACATATTTGATGAATGTCAGGAGATTGCTTCCTCCAGGATCACTACAGCTCCTCCTACCGTTCAGCCTCTAACCGCTCTTCATTCGTCAACCGTGGTATCTCCCATAGTCACTGCTGACGTTGGCCCCCAGCAGAATGACTCTGTTATTCATCTTGATTCCCCACCTCGTGAGGGTGAGATGGCTGACGGGACCGAGGAGGGGGATCAGCACAACCAGGAGGCTGTTGGTACTGAGGCAGCTAGCTAGGACTCCTCCAGACTCTTCGATTCCATAC